TGCTAAGAGAGAAGTAGAATACTGTTTGCTCTGTGCTGAGCTAACCAGGTTTAAAATGAGCTGAATCTGAAGTTCCTTGTAAATCAGCAGTAGGGAAAAATGCCTCTAAGCAAAGAGGTGGCTCAAATATATGTTCTGTTTTGAGTTGTTGGGCTAAGCTGTGGGTTGGAGGGGAGGAGAAGTGTTCAGTCCAGTGAACCCAATAGGGTTGCTCTCAATTCACGCCGGTGTCAGTGAAATCTAGCCTGCTGTGACAGAAATCCCACTTGCTCCCTTCTTGGTTTTACTTGATGTTATTATGGGAGTGCTTAGAGGCTACCTGTGAACAGTGTTCCACTGTCAAACAGAATAAGAGACAATCCCTGCCTCAAAGAGCTTGCAGTCTAAATAGATAAGACCAAAACAGGATGGGGGGAAATAGATATAGATGGAGTATTGGCTTTGTTTGCTCCCCACAGGGCTTGGAATCAAACACAGAAGGCAAACAGGAGCATAGAACACAGACCTTGAAATAAATGGGATTATTCACATACTTAAAGTTAAGCACATGCTCTAGGGCTTTGCTACATCAAGGCCAGAGTGAAGAGCTCTCCATTACAAATGATAATTTCCTTATTCCGGCAAACATCTGTCTGCAAGTATTTGTTTGACTTTCGAAACACGTGTCCTCTTGTGTTTGTGTTCCACTAAAGTTCTAGTGAATTAATTTCTGGCAAAAAACGTTTATGGAAACAGCATGTTTTAAAGCAATTATTGTAGGTGAATTTCAAATTCTTATTTAAATGGATAATCCAATTTTAAGAGTTGTGCTCATCCAACCAGGGATCAGAAACAGGTAAGGTAATTTGGGTGTCCAATTAAAATAGGTCAAATTCCCAGTATTGAGATTTGGAACTAACTCCTTGCGACTTAATGATGTGCTAAGAATTGCTATCAGAAAATACTGAGCAACTGTTTTTGAGAAGATGTTTAGTCTGACTAATTAATATATTGGAGAACATAGACTCTCTTTTCATTTGATTATTGTCAATTTACAATTGGCTAACTTTATTAACTACAAATGGTCTGGTAGTACCATTCATCTGAAGAAGTGGGCTGTGGTCACGAAAGCTCATGATACCATCTACATGGTTTGTTAGTCTATAAAGTGCTACCAGACCATTTTTTTTTCTGTAACTGACTAACTCGGCTACCTCCTGAAGCTTTATTAACTACATGATTTGTTACTCATGTTTTGCCCCGTTGAATTGTTCCCAGCAAGCTGAAGAAAATGGGCAGGTAAACACAATCAAATGTACTTTAATTTGTAGTCTCTGCACGATTTCCTGTCTCTTCCCATTTCTGGGCCAGTGTTTACTTAGAACCACTTGTTTTAGCAGTATCAGCCTTCCTTATGAAAGAATCAAGGAGCATCTGAAGAGCTGTCCTGCATAAGCTAGTGGGAGTTCAGATCCCAGAATTTTTGATATATGTTGTATGTTCATTTTGGTATCCATTTGCTACTGCATGAAAACCAAAGAAACAGAGGACCAATCCTAATTTGTTACAGCACTTTGATTGTGATATTCAAGTGAAGACAGACACAAGAATCTATTTAAACTGCAGGTCACAAATTGATCCAATGGAGCACACACATTTAAGTGGGTCCACCAAGGGGTTTATGGAATTTTCAACGTATTGCCCATAATTCAGTGTAGAGTTTCTATTGCTTATTCTCAGATTCAGCTTGCTCTGCTGAATTCTCTTACCTTCCCCTGCATGAAGGGGAAAGACAACACCAAAGAGGGACCTCAGTCTTCAGAGACTTCAGGCATGCCTTTTATGTGCAGTCTTGAGGTCCACCAGCAAAATCCCAGGTCTCTTTTATTTCTGGGTGCAGGCCCCTTTGTCTGGATGCTGACCACAAGTTGCGATGCACTGACATTTATACAAATTCCTAATTGGAAATGTCCAAGCCCTTTTCTTATTTAAACTGTTAAATGGTACTGCAAGAGAGGTGAAAAAACCTACTAGGCTGCAGCCAGTTTGTCCCAAAAGGAAAATCCTTAAACCAGTGATTGGTCAGACCCACAGCAGCCCTAAAACTCTGTTCTTATGCTATATAACTAGGGAAGAACTCTTGTGCAAAATGGAGTTATACCTCGGAAAAGGCGGTTTACCTACTCCGGAAAAAGCCTTCTCTTCTGCCGTTTTACTGTCGATTTACTTGCGCAAAAGCAAATTTGAGGTGTGGACGCTCTGCAGGTTTTTGCGCAAAAAACCTTGCAGTGTAGACGTAGCCCCAGACTTTACTTTTATTTATTCTTAAATTGTGTCTCTTGAGCTATATAGAAGGTACTCAGACTGGAAAGGCCAAGTTTGCTCTTTGAGCCCTGGTCTGTGCTAGGGAGTTTATTTTTACATAAGCCCCCGTATTTTGAAATAATAAGCAGAGCATCTACACTACCCAGCCTGTTATTTTGAAATCTGTACTCGGGCTTTCCTCAGGGAATAATGCTTATTTTGAAATAGTTCTTTTTAAATAGTGTTAGTGTGGATGCTCTGCTGCTGCTGTTTTGAAATAACTACTCCCATAGGCTGTGTCTAGACTGGCAAGATTTTGCGCAAAAGCAAAAACTTGCCAACTGTCTACACTGGCCGCTTAAATTTGCGCAAGAGCACTGACGTTCTAATGTAAGAATTCAGTGCTTCTTGCGCAAATACTTTGACACTCCCGCTCAGAGATAAGCCCTCTTGTGCAAGAATACTTGTGCAAGAGGGCCAGTGTAGACAGGCACCTTAATTTTTTGCACAAGAAAGCCCGATGGCTAAAATGGCCATTGGAGCTTTCTTGTGCAAAAGCGCGTCTAGATTGGGCACGGATGCTTTTGCGCAAAAGCACTTTTTGCACAAAAGCATCCGTGCCAATCTAGACGCTCTTTTGCGGAAATACTTTTAACGGAAAAACTTTTCTGTTAAAAGTATTTCCACAAAATCATGCCAGTCTAGACGCAGCCATAGAGTAATTCAAACTAATTACTCCCCAGTGCTTCCTGGGGCTCTAAGTCGAGGCAGTGCATCCACATTAAGGGAGCCTGCCTTGGACTACTTTCAAGGCTCCCCCTTAGTGGGGATACACTATTTTGATTTTGTTATTTCAGGAATTATTATTTCAAATTTAGTTATTTTGAAATAATTTCCTAGTGTAGACATGCCCTGAGTATGGACAAATGCTTCATCTCCAATCAAATGCCTATAATGTATATGCTAATTCTTCTAGTATCTTTCTGGAAATTTAGAGTTCATTGTTGTTCTTTAAACTCCTCTCGGATTTAGATAATCTGTGACTATTCTGTTTTCAAGTAACACAAGAAGCCTGAATCTGTAGAAACAAAAATGTTTAACTTGTCCTCAGACTGAAAGGAACTCAGTCTACCCAGATGATAGACCTAGTGATAGTAAGACCAGACAGGTACAATTAGCGGTGAAAGTAACTTAACATTTCTTACAGGTTCTGTCCTATTGCAACTCATATCCCTGCCAGAGCTGTGCACCAGGGCGCACCCGCTTACTATCACCTCTGGGTATGATCCTTCCTATGACCACACTGGAAAATATACATAACTTACTTGGATGTAAACCGTGTGAATCAGATGGGCAGGAAGAAGATTCGGGTTATTTGCTGTAGAAAATTAGCATTGTTTACACTGAGGACCCTTTGGCTCCAATTTGATTTCATTCCTTCATGGTTGCCTTGCCTCTGTTTCCTCAACAAAGGAGTTGTGCAATAACGCGTCACTCCTTTAGTAAGTTATTACCATTCATGTTGGCCTCTAACTCCAAATTTCAGACCTATTGTGGATTCAGACTTTTCAGAGTTTTACCATGTTCAGCTTGGGGTTGTGCAAAGAGGCATGGGACAGTTTATGGAGGGCAGGTGCAGAGCTGCACGTCCCCCTCCACTTACCTCTGTCTGTGCCCGTCGCTGCCCTGCGGAGCTGGGGCCCGCTACCTGGGCATAACCCTGCATGTGGGGCTTGATGGTGGGGCAAGCAGCTGAGTAGGGCACAGGGCCAGCAACAAAGGCCCTTTGTGTGGGAATGGCAGCTGAGCAGAGACAGCAGGTGGGAAACAGCTGGAGGGGGGTGGCCTGTGCGAGGCACAGGGACAGCATCCAGGAACCTGGGCAGTGGGGGCATGTGGCTGGGCTTCCTAAAACATTGGGGTACTGCAGCCCTGCACCACTGCTTCCTGCACCAATGGCTTTGTTCATTAAGATAGTCACCAGCAATCAGATTTGCATCGGGTCTGAATTTTGTTTCACAGGTTCTAGTTTCTGAAGGTTCTGTGGCCAAGAATTTATTAAAAAATTGGGAGCCTAATTTTTGGTCTAAGTACATAGGCTTATCTTCAGAATTGCCTGGCACTCGGCAACTCACATTCAGGAGCTGAACTTAAGACTCCTAATTTTTAAAATATGGGTCCAATTTAATACTGGCTGTCATCAGAAGCTTCATCCACTCATCCTAGTGTTACTAATGGCCATGCTGCTGCTGCTGCTGCATTTGCTGGCCAGGCCAATAGCAGAGGCTTACATTATAGCAAATGAGTGCCTCCAAAGACATAGCCTACTATCTGGGCTGGATACTTTTCTATGACAGTCAGTCAGACAAGGGAATGAAGCAGGAGCTCATACACTAGCAATCATACTGCATTCAGCAATACAGACCCAAATTCTGATCACACTCCCACTGACAGAACCTGGGAGTAACCACATTCATTTAGATAGCATTGCTTCCCATTTTCACCCAATTAAAAGTTTATTGCTCCTGCTTCACTGAACTGTGAAAAGAATGAAAGTCTAGAAGACAGCAACACAGAGAGAATTTGCAGCAGATCTTGTTAAAACCATGGCTCCCGGACACAGACCCAACCCTGTGCCAGGAAAAAGGAAAAGGGCTTGCTGGGAACAATTCAACGGGGCAAAACATGAGTAATTCTATGTTGGGAGAGACCTCACACAGGGTGTGTCTATACAACACTGTTATTTCAACTTATATCCGATTTTTCTTGACTCATTTGCCTTTTTAATTAGCATTCAGTTTTTTGGATAGTTTTCTCCTTTACAAATACTAATAACCAACCCCTGGATGACTGGTCTGTGTCTCCTCAGTTGTAATGGTACACAGACGAGAAGAGTTCTTGTTTTTATAGGAAGCAAAACTGCCTTTTCCAAGCAAATGACAACCCTTTCTTTTGAGGCCCAAGCTATATTGGCTTACCCAGTCTGTAGAAATTTGAGGAAGTTGAGATATAGATCCAGAGCTGGATCGGAATTTAGAAGAATAAACAAAGTCCTAGATCAAAACAACCATGTGCCTTGAAAAGGTTCAGGTTTGCATCTAGATCTCAATTATAGGTCTTGGACCTTTCTGTAAATGTGAAAGGTTTGAGTATCTTTGTCCCTAACTTTCCCTCTCCTTTCTGTAAAACGGCCTTTGTATTTTCAGCTGTTAGCTTGGACCAAACTGGGGAAGTGCTGAGAGATCATGAGAGATATATGTTTTCCCCATGCTTTCTGGCCTGATGAAAAGCATACAACAAAGTTTCATGAATAAACATGTCCTTGTGAGACTTCAAACCAAATTTTGCAGACTCAATCACTGCAGATAATGTGCATGAGCACCCAAAAGTTTGTATTTGTACCCTGCTCTGTATTTATTCAAACTAACTCCAACCCTTTTGAGAGTCCACAACACCTTATGCATTTTCAGATGTGATGTGTGACTCTTAGACTGTTACCGGCTCATAGCAGGGTTGCCATTTTTCTAGAGGCTTATAGAATATTGTGCAACCTTAAACACAATAAATATTAAAACTCACCCCTCAGAGCTTTCAACATACAGTATATGGATACATAAAAACTAAACAAAGGTTACTGTAGGCACTGTTGAAACTTGTAATCATGCAGGGAGGTAAGGAACACAAAATAAGCTCTGTCCCATATCAAATACCACCCTTCCCACTCCTAAAATTTTATCACAATACACAATGCATCAGATTACTTTAAAAATGCACTGAAGGCCAAATTGTGAGGTCTTTACTGAGCCATGTTCCTTTTGAAACCAATATGAATTTACCTGTGCGTGGGATAACTAAATGCTGGGTAGGCCTTAGAATTTAGTTCTAAGCACATAAACATAAACCTTTGTGTTCCAGGATGGAAATATGTAAGAAAAGTTTTCACAGAGAATACCCTTATGGAAAATACACAGCTTTGTTTAATGATTTATTCTCTAGTGCTGCACCATTCTACCTTTCTGTATCCCACTACTCAACACTCTCCCCCTTCCAATAAATTGTGCATTGGAAATGGCAACTGTGACTGATAAGACTTGTCTTTCCTTTGATTAAAAAACTGTTACTTTAAATGTTTGGAAATTAACCATGAGCTCCTCCTAAGAATCAATTGGATTTGAGTCTCTGTACAAACAATCGCTCTTTCATTCTAATGTGTCATGAAACCGATTTTTGTAAATAGGTCATTCAGAGACACATCTTGTGATAGCTAGTGATGTCTAACTGCCAGCTTTCAGTTGTACAGGCATCATGAACAACATGATGAAACAGAAAAGTCTTAAATTCACATACAGATCATTCACAATACATTTTAATAGCCCTCATTTGGGGATTAACTGGCTATTTTCCCACTCAAAACCTTTGATTCTTCATTACTCACAATTGCGCTCAGTTATTCCAGAATAAACACTGCAGTCAGGGGATTTCAGTGACAACAGGGGAATTACTTCAGATTTACATCCATATTTCAGAACAGAATTTGGCCTAAATTCTCTTCCAGTCTCTGTTCAGTGTTTGAGAAAAAAAATGTAACAAGGTAATGAAGTAAACCGATTACTTGACTGATTGTCATGGTGAATAGAACAAGTGAAGTTAAATAGGAATCTGAAAGATATGCAGTTTGATTTGGTTAAACCAAATAGAGCACAATCCAGTGCTCCTTATCTAGAAAAAAGAATCTGTTGAAGTGACCCAAACCTGACAAAATAGGGATAGTATATTCAGGCCCTAAAATGGCAATCTTCTGTATTACATGAAATTAAAATATACAGATGAACATGCCATTAACAAAACATATAGTATATAAGTCTAGATATTTCTTTAATCTTTTGGTTACCTGAATACAAATTAATACTGGTAGACCTCATGGGACAACCTAACCTCCAACATTCATTTTCTAAACTTAGTTCTTAGCCCAGCAGAAAAAATATACTTCACAGCACACAGTTTATTTGCAGTGACATATAAAATGAGACGGACAACAACCAACACTGGTTTAAGGCAGCTTGTTTGACAAGCAGCTCATGATAGATTGAAAGAGAAATGCAACAGTTATCCACATGACTTTCTTTCAATATTTCATTGCTTGTAGACCACGCAGAACCTTTCCAATGTGGAACCACCTTTAATTAAAGTTAGCGTACGTACATGGTGTCCTCCGCTGGTTTTGCTTTGCGTCATGCGTCTGCATTTATTTAGCTCAAAGCTGTACCGTGTTACTTAGTTTTGTTATCAACCTCTGCTTTCTCAATCTTCTGTCCTGTGAGAAACTGCCAGATTCCTCCTCTGTAGTTCTCATTTCCCAGGGCATAGACAAAGGCATTAACTGTTGGCACAGTCTTGGCAATAATGGCAGGAATCTGTTATAAGACACATGCACACAACACAATTTTAATTTAACGTAAAAATGTTGTAAGAATCAGCAAAAACTGTAGTGAGGATCTAATGGGCTTGTGTAGCTTCACCACTGTCTAGCTCTGAGAAATGCAAGGTTTGCCACTTCCCAAACCACTTCTGTCTGGGTTATTTTTTAAAAGTGAATTTGGTGCTTGGGATGAGTTTTGAGTCAACTGAAGGTGAGACCTACACCCACATGAAAGGAACGAGACAGACTAGAGAAGATGCTCCCAACTGCCTCGCCACGGCTCTCTGGCTAGGAGGGGACCAGCTCCAAAGTGAGGAATCAGTTCGCTGTTTGTACTCAGGATTTTACAGTGGAGACAAAAAACAATGCCCAGTTTCTGATTTAGGCATCACTCTAATGTGAAATCAACTGAGACCACAAACTCATCTTAGATGGGATACTGAACACCAAATATATGGTATTAGCTTTTGCTTACCTACAAGTTGGGATGGATTTTAACCAGCAAGCTACAGCTGGAAGGCTTCATTTGTTATTACTGAACCTATTCACAATATAAATGTTTTATTTTGAAATTGAATAATACAATACTTCATGCACTTTTCCTAAACAACCATCCTTTCTATATTTTATTATCCTTCTTGTTTCTACAACTATGAAACAAAGAATCTAGAGAAAACATTAATATCCCCCCTCCAAGTTCAGAACAATATTTATTCAGAGACGGATCTCTGGGAAAAGTAAACCTTTTAAGAGTGACAGAGAGGTAGCCATGTAAGTCTGATCTTGGTAAAACAAAAAAAGCAGTCATATAGCACTTTAAAGACTAACAAGATAGTTTAGTAGGTGATTAGCTTTCGTGGGGCAGACCCACTTCTTCAGATCAGGTGGGTCTGCCCCATGAAAGCTCATCACCTACTAAACTATCTTGTTAGCCTTTAAAGTGCTACATGACTGCTTCTTTTGTTTTACCTTTTAAAAGTGGTTTTACTAATTAAAGATTCGCTTAAGAAATGAATGCCCCACACTGGAAAACAATGGGACCAAAACCAGCTCTTTAGAGTAATACTACTTGAACTTAGATAAAAAACTAAACAACCGAGTAACACTCAGGCCACAGATCGAGAGCTAAAATCAGCTATTGAAGCAATAAGTGAAGTTTATTAAATTGTTAGCAGTGATGTGGGAGGGGTGGCGGGGGGGAGAGGGGAGGAAGAAAGGGGGCAAGAGAATTGACAGGTCCCTGGGCCAGGTATGAAAGAGGGCCTTGACTCCATGCTCCCGGAAGGGGCAGGATGGATCATGTCTCCCCCTCCAGGCCCTCATTGCCTCGACTGCACCTCCTGGGGCTCCAGAGGTGATTTAAAAGTCCCAGGACTCCAGCCACCACCACTGCCGCCGCTGCTACAGTAATGGGGTCAGTGTCTGGGAGTTGTCCCCTTCCTCCTCTTCCCCTGTTGGCGGGCCGGGTTTGCAGTCACTTGTGGTGATCTCACTAATACAATATGTAACTGTCATTGCTATACGTAGCTGCTTTTAATATCATGGCTGAACAATTTGCTATGTAGAAATCATTTGCTTATTTATATATCCTGTGTCCAGCTATTGATTGGTGAAATATCATCACGTGGTAGGAGCATGTCACAACATAGCAAGCACAGTGTGAGGGCTTTTCAACATACCATGCGGAGTTTTGGTGAGATGAAAGTCACATTCTCAACTGCAGCATAGAAGCATAAAAGGGAGTAGGGACCCCAGCAAATGACCAGCGTCTTCACTGGTAAACTTGTATTGAACTGAAAAAACAAAACCCCACGCTCATTCTATTACACAGTTATACGCGGATTTAAACAGCCTGGACAGACTCAGTAACCTCATATTCCTTGCTCAGCATCAGCGGGGGAGTTTTAAATAGAAGACACACGTGGTAGAGACTGTCTTCACTTAGGGCTGCCAACCTTCTCATCCCAGAAAACTAAGCACCCTTGTCTCACCCACGGTCCCACCTCTGCTCCACCCCTTCCCCAGGCCCCACCTTCACTTCCTCCATCCCTGTTCCCTCCCTTGATTCCGCCCCCCTCATGTCCTCATTTTTACTGCAAGACCCAAGCAGACATATTGGGGTTTTTGACAGCTTATTATGCTAAGTTCGGGCTTTATTTGTTGCACGACTCTAGAACTGGCAGCAAAATAGTCTGGAAAGGTAGTTAAAAAATGAAGTTTCTAAAAGGTTTTAATGATTCTTTCCCTCCCTTCTTCCCATTTTTCATAGCCAGCTCGGTGTGTTTTGTTCCCTAAAGTAAGTGCAATTTTATGCACGGAATTAGCATCACATATTATCACAACTGTAATGGGTCCATTAAAGGCTCACTCCTGAAGCCCGAATGCAAATCCACAGCGAAACAACCACAGAAATTCACCCCGTCCATATACCTATATACATCAATCTGTAGAAACTGACTCCCACATCTACATGCAGCTACACATGTACACATCTTGCATGCACTGGCATATATACTTTCAAATTATTTATTACCACAATTATTATTTAGTGCCTAGAAATCCCAAAAAACACGGGCACTACAGGAGAGAGGCACAGCAGGTGGGTAGGAGGAGGTGTTAGGAGAGGGTATGGGGAAGGGTGGCTACAGATTATCAGAGTGGAACTAGAGGAGGAGTGGACACAGGAGAAAGGGAAGGGCAGGTGCAGAGGTCAGAGAAGATCGGATGGGGGGCAGGTCCCTAAAGGACTGAGGGGAGTGAGAAGGGCAGGAGCCAAGACAGGAGAGGAGGGTGAGGGATGGGGGGGCAGCAGCAGGCACCAGGGAGCAGATGGGGGAGGAGAGGGTCGGAGACATGGCAGCAGAGGGGAAAAGGGAGAGGTTTATAACTTGGGTGCCATAGTGCCACATTTGTTCAATATCTTTATTAATGACCTGGATGAGGAGATGGATTGCACCCTCAGCAAGTTTGCAGATGACACTAAGCTAGGGGGAGAAGTAGATATGTTGGAGGGCAGGGATAGGGTCCAGAGTGACCTAGACAAATTGGAGCACTGGGACAAAAAAAATCTGATGAGGTTCAATAAGGACAAGTGAAGAGTCCTGCACTTGGGACAGAAGAATCCAAAGCATAGTTACAGGCTGGGGACTGAATGGGTAAGAAGCAGTTCTGCAGAAAAGGATCTGGGGATTACAGTGGATGAGAAGCTGGATATGAGTCAACAGTGTGCCCTTGTAGCCAAGAAGGCTAATGGCATATTAGGGTGCATTAGGAGGAGCATTGCCAGCAGATCCAGAGAAGTGATTATCCCCCTTTATTCAGCTCTGGTGAGGCCACATCTGGAGTATTGTGTCCAGTTCTGGGCTCCCCACTACAGGAAAGATGTGGACGCATTGGAGAGGGTCCAGCGGAGGGCGACCAAAATGATTAGGGGGCTGGAGCGCATAACCTATGTGGAGAGGCTGAGGGAGTTGGGTTTGTTTAGTCTGCAGAAGGGAAGAGTGAGGGGGGATTTGATAGCAGCCTTCAACTTCCTGAAGGGAGGTTCCAAAGAGGATGGAGAGAGGCTGTTCTCAGTAGTGACAGGTGGCAGAACAAGGAGCAATGGTCTCAAGTTACAGTGGGAGAGGTCTAGGTTGGATATTAGGAAAAACCATTTCCCTAGGAGGGTGGTGAAGCACTGGGATGGGTTACCTAGGGAAGTGGTGGAATCTTCACCCCTAGAGGTTTTTAAGTCTCAGCTTGACAAAGCCCTGGCTGGCTTGATTTAGTGGGGGTTGGTCCTGCCTTGGGCAGGGGGTTGGACTTGATGGCCTCCTGAGGTCTCTTCCAGCTCTGTGATTCTATGATCCGAAGAAGCACACATGAACTCAATTCTGAAACACAAGCCAAAACTCACTCTGCTTGTAGGTGGAAAATCTAAATTTAATTGGGCGAGCTTCTTGTGTTATGTTAGTTAATCAGTAAATAACATTTCCTTATTCCATTGTTCCACACCATTCATGATTTTATAGACTTCTAACACATTCCCCCACCCTTTAAAATATAGGGGGATATACCTATCTCATAGAGCTGGAAGGGATCTTGAGAGGTCATTGAGTCCAGCCCTCTGCTCTCAGAGCAGGAGCAAGTACCATCCCTGACAGATTTGCCCCAGCTTCCTAAATGGTCCCCCTCAAAGGCTGAACTCACAATCCTGGGTTTAACAGGCTAGTAGTCAAACCACTGAGCTATCCCTCTTTCTTTTGCCAAGTGTTTTAATCTCTTCTCATATGGAAGCTATTCCTTACTCCTCATTATTTCTATTGCCCTTCTCTGTACCTTTTCCAAATCCAATATATCCTTTTTTCAGATGGGGTGACCAGATCTGCATGCAGTATTCAAGATGTGGGCATGCCATGAATTTACATAGAGGCAATATGATATTTTCTCCCTTCTTATGTATCCTTTTCTTAATGATTCCCAATGGCCTGGTCAGTGGTGCTGACAGAGGTACTAGGATCCCTTTTTGACTGGATGTTCTGATCCAAACCCAGACAGCTGGTCACCCTATTCTCATTCTGCTCTCAGCTCTCCCCTGGATGTTATTTGGATGACATTGTGTGGATGTGGCTGCCAATTTTAAGAGCCCCCCTGCTGGGACAGCAGTAGCTGTTGGCCCGTGAGGGCTATTTCTAGAGAGTGGACATAGATCATGGGGTGACAGAGCAAGATGAAGCATGCAAGGTCCCTTGAAAGCCCTGCAGAGATGCTAAAGAAGCAAAACAACAGGGTGCAGGGCAATGGAAAGCTTGCAAAATGACAAATGAAGGATGATGTGTGGTTTTTTTAACATCTCTAAGAGGGCATTAGAAACAGGATGAAGCAAATATAACAAATAATACAGAAAATTAAATAAGATCATTGATATCAAGCCAAACACATAGGCTGGGTCTACATTGGCACCCCATTCCAGAAAAGGGATGCTAATGAGACCAGTCGGAATTGCAAATTCGGCTGTGTCTACATTGGCATCCCTTTCCGGAAAAGGGATGCTAATGAGACACTTCGGAATTGCAAATCCACGGGGGATTTAAATATCCCCCGTGGCATTTGCATTTACATGGCTGCCGCTTTTTTCCGGCTTTTTTCCGGCTCGGGGTTTTGCCGGAGAAAAGCGCCAGCCTAGACGCGATTTTCCGGAAAATAACCCCTTTTCCGGAAGATCATACTTGAAAGTAGGAATAAGGGATCTTCCGGAAAAGGGGTTATTTTCCGGAAAATCGCGTCTAGGCTGGCGCTTTTCTCCGGCAAAACCCCGAGCCGGAAAAAAGCCGGAAAAAAGCGGCAGCCATGTAAATGCAAATGCCACGGGGGATATTTAAATCCCCCGTGGATTTGCAATTCCGAAGTGTCTCATTAGCATCCCTTTTCCGGAAAGGGATGCCAATGTAGACACAGCCATAGTGTTGCCATTGTCTCTCTATATTGCAGGCCTTTCTGTGGTTCTCATGGCCATAGTATTTGAGTACCTCACATATTAATATCTGTGTGTATATTAAACTGTATTTTAATGCCTATACATTTCCTGCATCATACTCAGATTACAGAACACCATATACTATTGTACACCATCCTACAACAGACATAAGCTATCAGACTCTTTCATAAGCTCACTGAAAAAATATGGTGATCTTTGTTAAAATAATATGTTGCTTATGTATATATTCTGTATCTTACACAATAATCTGCTAGGACAAACCTTTATCTCAAATTTTAACACGAGAATGAATTTGATAACGGAGGGAGCTCTGTCTAAACTAGCCAGTCAAGTGTAAAGCCCACTGACGGTACCATATGTGCCTGAGAAAACAAGTTACATAAGCACATTACATCATCACAAACCTAGCCTCCAGAACATTTCTGAAGAAACATTTCCTTTGTTTCCACCTCATAAAGATTTTTGATTCATCCTACCCAAGGGTGTACAAGTCACATTTGTAAAGCCAGCCTCTCCGCCTGACCCCATTTGGAAATTGAGTCCTCATAATGTTTCCTTTTCAGTGTTGTGGCCTCAGAGACTTTTCTGTGCTAAGACTTAAGTAAGTAAAAATGAGTTTTCATGAGCAAAGCTGCTTTGGATTGTTATCTATATCCCAAACACCCTTTATTCAGTCTCAGCATGCACGTGTTTTAGCATGTAACCTGGAAAGGACTTTCGCAAGGGAGGGGGTTGTTCCAAAATCTTGGTCAAAGATACTGAGGATGGGAGGGACAGTGTGTTTTTACCCTCATACCTCACACAAGCAAGCTTGCTTTGGGGGGAATTTGGAGAATCCTCCTTACCTTGAACTGTCCACTTTTCTTGAATTTCTGCTCTATAGATTGGTAAGCTGTCAGCATGATGAAGATAGGAATCACAAAATTGAAAATGGCCATCACAAAAAGGAATGTGACGAAATTTCTGGTGGGTAGAAGAAAAAGTCCCCATTAATCATTTTTGGAGGTTGTTTGTTGTTTATAAAATGCACTAATCAGAGTGTACACCAGCACACATGCAATATTTGAAAGAGTAATTAACAATTCTATATATTACCTTACTATAAAATTATATAAGATTGCAGGGAAAAGAAAATCCAGACCTCTTGTAATCTTTTCTCAGGTAAAAGCCTTAAAGTATTTATATACTTATATTGGTAAAAATGCAAAGAAAAAAAAGTTTTAGGGGAAGCAGGCAGGCTTTGTGGCATGTTCTGAAGCTCAGTAAAGTTGCACTTGCATGGACCAGCTGTGGAAATGGACTCTGGCAAGCAGAGATTCTCAGTGAAAACACCCCAGCACCATCTCCTCCTAATTTAGCCTTAGGTCCTATTGGCTCAGGAGTTTCATCTATGGGATACCATCTGTTTGCTGACATCACAGTTCATGTCAAAATGATAATGTACTTAATATTGTGTAATATTAATATCCTCACCCTCCCACCTGGGAGCAGCAGGACTGCCAACACTGGCTGCCCTAGGCATGATAGGGGGGCACCCTGAGGATGGGGAGGGTCCTGGAGCGGCCAGCAAATTGGCCTGGGAGTGCAGGTTAGTTGGCTTGAGTCCCCACCTCTGGGAGCAGCAGAACGGCCAACACTGAAACTGGCTTCTGTGTGGGGAAGGCAGAAACCTTTAGGGTGTCCCTTATCTGGGCTTCCTAATAGGGCAGATGGTGCTGGGGACTCTTACTGGGTGGGGCTTGAGCTCACACTCTTTGGGGCCCCAGGCCTAGCCCCTAAGCCACTGCATCACCTAATGTTTAGGGTGTCCCTTATCTGGCCTTCCTAATGGGGCAGCTGGTGCTGGCTGTGGGGATGCTCCCCGGATGGATGGGCCTTGAATCTAGTACTTAGTGATAGTACCTGGAATCCAGCACTGACTGCTGGTCTTGTCCTGCATTTCACAGAAAACTGAGGGAAAAATACCATGGGGATCCTCACCTGTCTCCTTTGGTATAGTCCAATGTGCAGCAAGTTCTTAGGGGCTCATAGTCATATTCACCCCACCCCAACAGTGGCATGACAGACCAAAATGCAGAGAACACCCACACAAATATGACCATTGTGATAGCTGTGCTCCATTGGATCTTACTTCCTGCAATGCAGAGAAAAAACAGAATCTTAAAATATGAACAAGGACTTTTAACTTTCCCTTTTCTGGGATGGGTAGGCAGAAATAAGAAATGCTATTTCCCATTTAATGTGATTATCCAGCCTTCACTCATTTCTGTGAAACTACTGCACCCCACATGGTGGGCCTCCTGCCTAAGGGCTATAACCAATCCCTATACTAGGATAAATAGCCAGGTTTGGGCAGAAGGCAGATGCCAGTGGTGCTGATGGAAGGAATCCCTCCAGGGGATACAGTGGCATTGGAACTACTCTGGCTCTTAGAGCAACACTGCAGTATCTCAGTTCACTCCTCCTCTAATGTCACTTGGCCTATATGACTAAGCCTTTCTGTGTAGTGACACACAAATGGGGGTGCAGCACCCCCATAAAGGCAGCTCAGATTCTAACCCTCTGCTTCCCTCCCTCTGATTGGTAGTGGAGGGGTGAGTTTTGACTCTAAGAACATCACCTGACGAGTCAGGTACCATCTTCAAGCTAAGGATACTGTTGCTGGGAGGAAAATGCCAAGGTGCAATTTGTTGTGCCTCAGCCCTAGCTCTTCAAAAAAAACCCAGTGAATATTACAGCCTCTACTTAGCCTCTTCCTGGGCCATTTGCACATTGAGACATGATGGGTCACAGTGAGTGAAGGACATTTCTCTAAATGTTCTCTTCTTGCTTGGATCAACCCATCTTTGCCAAGGTGACTTTTGGTCCTGGTGTCTGTGTGGGGTTGTACAGAGCCAATGTTGTCTAGAATCCAGGTGCAAAGTAATATTAAAAACTCAGGATATGATCCAAAGTGAGTAGTAATTGCTTTGTGCCATATTTTACTGCTTGATGCATAGATGCAGGGACATCAGGCTAATTTAGGCGGAATTACACTGGCATAAAACTGTAATAACACAGTGATACATCAGTACAGGACTTCAGGAAGCAGGAAACTACTCTCTTTTTTGGCATACTTTTATCAGACATCTAGTGCATCACTGCTCAGCTTTCCACAAAACAGGAGGTACATGTGGTACTGTAGTTAAAATGTTCTTTTTTTTAAAGCATCTCCACTAAAGAGCTTTTCATGTGTTTTAAAAATAAGTTTTAAGAATTTGGTCAGGCTAGATACCTGAAGGAAATAAAAATCCCATACAAACAGAGGGGCCAGAGAGATAAAATGGGATTAAAAAAGTGAGTGTTCAGCACAAAATGGTGTTTTGGTCAGAAATAATAGAATCATAGAACACTAGAACTGGAAGGGTCCTCAAGAGGTTGAGTCCTGTCCCCTGCCCTCGTGGCAGGACCCAGTACCATCTAGACTATCCTTGATAGATGTCTATCTAACCTGCTCTTAAATATCTCCAGAGATGGAGATTTCACAACCTCCCTAGGCAACTTATTCTAGTGTTTAACCACTCTGACAGGAAGTTTTTCCTAATGTCCAACCTAAACCTCCCTTGCTACAGTTTAAGCCCATTCTTGTCCTATCCTCAGAGGCTAAGGAGAACAATTTTTCTCCCACCTCCTTGTGACTCTTGAACACCACTATCAGGTCCCCTCTCAGTCTTCTCCTTTCCCAACTAATCAAGCCCAATTCTTTCAGTCTTCCTTCATAGTTCTCTAGACCTTCCTTCCTTCATGTTCTCTAGACCTTTAATCATTCTTATTGCTCTTCTCGTTACTTTCTCCAATTTCTTGAAATGTGGTACCCAGAACTGGACACAAAACTCCAATTGAGGCCTGATCAGCGCACAGTAGAGCGGAAGAATGACTTCTCATGTCTTGCTCACAACACTCCTGTTAATGCATCCCAGAATCATGTTTGCTTTGTTTGCAACAGCTTCACACTGTGGACTCATATTTAGCGTGTGGTCTACTATGACCCCTAGATCCCTTTCTGCAGTACTCCTTCCTAGACAGTCGCTTCCCATTCTGTATGTGTGAAATTGATTGTCCTTATTAAACTTCATCCTATTTACCTCAGACCATTTCTCTAGTTTGTTCAGATCATTTTGAATTATAAACCTATCCTCCAAGGCAGTTGCAACCCCTCCCAGCTTTGTGTCATCTTCAAATTTAATAAGCATACTCTCTATGCCAATATCTAAATCATTGATGAAGATATGGAACAGAACCGGTCCCAAAGCAGATCCCTGCGGAGCCCCACTTGTTATGCCCTTCCAGCATGATTGTGAACCGTTAATAACTGCTCTTTAAGAATGGTTATCCAGCCAGCTATGCACCCACCTTATAGCCCCATCTAAGTTGTATTTGCCTAGTTTATTGATAAGAATATCATGCAAGACCATATCAAATACTAAAGTCTAGATATACCAGGTCTACTGCTTCTCCCTCATCCACAAGACTCGTTATCCTATCAAAGAAAGCTATCAGATTGGTTTGATATGATTTGTTCTTTACAAATCCATGCTGGCTTTTACCTATCACCTTATTATCTTCACCTTATTATCTTCCAGGTGTTTGCAGATGAATTCCTTAATTACCTGCTCCATTATCTTTCCAGTTTTCTATCTAAACTGACTGGTCTGGAGTTTCCTGGGTTGTTCTTATTTCTTTTTTATAAATGGGCATTATATTTTCCCTTTTCCAGTCTTCTGGAATCTCTCCCAACTTCCATGATTTTTCAAAGATGATGGCTAAAGGCTCAGATACCTCCTCTATCAGTTCCTTGAGTATTCTAGGAGGCATTTCATCGGGCCATGGTGACTAGTAGACATCTAACTTTTCTAAGTAATTTTTAACTTGTTCTTTTTTATTTTATCTTCTAAACTAGGGGTGGCCAACCTGTGACTTGAGAGCTGCATGCGGCTCTTCACCGCAGTGTGGAAGATGATGGCTAAAGGCTCAGATACCTCCTCTATCAGTTCCTTGAGTATTCTAGGAGGCATTTCATCGGGCCATGGTGACTAGTAGACATCTAACTTTTCTAAGTAATTTTTAACTTGTTCTTTTTTATTTTATCTTCTAAACTAGGGGTGGCCAACCTGTGACTTGAGAGCTGCATGCGGCTCTTCACCGCAGTGTGGCTTGGGGAGCGGCCCCGTCCCCCCCCACCCCGCGCCGCAAA